CAACATAAAACAGTTAATGTACAAAGGAATATATGAATGTACACTATAAGCCTACCAATTGCTTATATTTTAAATGATTGAACAAATTGCATCTAATATGAAGAAAAGGAAAGTTTTTTTCCCCCATATGCTGATATACAGCATATCTCTCAAGATAATTCATAGGTATGAAGACTAAGGTTTTCATTCAACCTTTGAATTTCCTGTATGTTGGTATTTAGTAATTGTAACTTCTTATGTATGCTAGCTGACTGAATTTTAACTAAGATTTGATTTGCATAAATAGCTTTCAAAGGAGAAAAAATATTATTCCTTTCTTTTTTTCCTCTGAGATTATTAAGAATGTTCTTTACCAATGAAAATAAAATAATTTAGAGTCTACTATTGATTTAAATGGAGGGAAAAGATAATGTTACGAGAGTTACTACTAAGATATTGGAATAATAACCTTGAACAAATTTTTTACTTTTCAAAACCATTGAAGCTTATAGAATTGGGAATGGTGTCTAAAAACATTTGGCCATCTGAAACTTTCAGTCTATTCTAAAGTTTAAATAATAAAGGATGTAGCATATTTTGTAGCAATCTTCACCTAATAAGATTAATCTAAATGTCATCTGAACTACAACTTGTTTCTATCATGAGCAATCAGGTTTGACTGCAATTCAATTAAGTGGACTTAAATTGGAATAATATTGGTTCTGGCCAGAGTGCTACTCTTGGCATCTACCAGATGACAAAACCATATGACCTCCATGAATCACAGAGTAAGATATTATAGAATAATCAAAACAATGGCTTTTATATTCCCGAGCCCATGAAGATCTAAATTAGATACATTTAAAACCATTGATTTCAGTGAGCTGCAGAGTGCTTAGCTCTGCTTATTCTGTTTTTCAATCAGATGTTATGAGTAAACATGGGATTATTTTATTCATTGGGAGCAATAGTATTAAGTGCAGAGAGCTGGATACCAAACACAATAGTATAATGATTAAATAAGCACTGATCAGAATAATCCTTATTTATCTGGAATACTGATTTCATAGCAATGGAATGGAATAAATGCTCAGTGGTAGATTACATGTTCTGTGTTCAAAATACCTTAGATACAGTTTTTAACTACTACATTAGGGGCTGGGAAAACCTCTGTCTGAACCTCTGTAAAGCCATAAGCAGTCAACATAGCATTGAATCAGATAGCATAAACTCAGGGAAATAGAAAATAATGGAATCCTTCAAAAACGGAAACAATCCACAAATAAAACCACAAGAAAATTATTATAGGAAATTAGATTTCATTGGATAAATGTTATTATATTCATCTTTAATGGTTGGCTTGGGAAATAGATTTTATTTATTGCAATTCAAGAGAAAAATGTAGCTAGACCTCCTGGTTATGAGCAGCAAAAGAATGATACTAAAGAGGCTTCACTGATCCATGTACAGGATTTTTGTAATTTCAAGTTTATTGTATTGTAGATACAATTACTGTATAGAAATAAAGTTCAACAGAACTGTATCATGCCTAGTAATGGAACTGCAGGAACACGTATGTCTCCAAGTGTGAATGCATTTATTTGATCTGCTGCTGTCTTTTGCATACTCATGTTATGTCAGATTGAATTTATTGAGAGTTCACTGCAGAAATAATACGTATTATCATTGTGCCTTAGTAAGCCAAGAAAGCATAGATACGAGCATCTGCATTTATTATTCATTTAACGATACATTGGATTATATTTAATTTCTTATCAAACCATCAAGGCAACATTCTCTAACACTGAATAGGTGTTGTGAATCAAAATGCTGTGTGATCCTTATCAAAGTTATTTCAGACTAAATCCCCTTGAGTGTGGCTGGATCAAGAGAAAAATAAGTGTGTTTAGCTTGTTACTACTCCATTTAGTACAAAAGGACATTGGTCACTGACTATATCAAAAATGTATTGGGAATATGCTCATCTCTCTCTCTCTCTCTTTAAAACTTACATAATAGAGTACATAGCGAATGGTAATCAAAACATTAACCTGACCTAGACGGAGCTTCTTCTTCTTTTTTTTTTACCATAGCTATATTTTGTAAGCAGGCAATGTTACTATTATATTGATGGAACACTGGAATCAGCTTGTGGTAACAAATTGCCAACATGCTCAAACATAAGGCTGTCTATTAAAATGCAGCTAGACTTACAAGCAACTTCTGGTAGCTTTTTGTTTGTTAAAACAAAGCAAAACAGAAGCAAACCAAACCTTAGCTAATTATATTTCAGAATGTAAAAGCTGGTACTGTAGTCTGATTGATCCAATGCCCAAGCCATGCCAAATACGTGCATACATCAATGTACATTTTTGATCCATATTTCATTAGCGTGAGCTCAACCTGTCAATTGCATTTCCCTTGCTGCCTTGAAAGGGATCAGATATTCCAATCAGTCTTCAAAATTCAAGAGCTTTACTCTACCTTGTCACCACCAGTGATGTTGTCATCTTCTTCTCCTAGAAGCTTTGTTTTGGGACATGGAGAGATAGTAGAAGGAGTAATAGAAACTCCCAGGGCCCAGTGAAACAGATTTTTTTCCCCCAAGAGTTTGGGGCTAGTAGTAGAATCCTTAGTAGAAAATGATGGTACCGGGGGGGGGCAGTGCCCCCCCCCCCCCCCGATGAAAGTGAAGAATGGAGTCTGAAGAATGGAAGTAGTGTGAGTTTTCAGAATTCAGCTAGCCCCAATCCTGCTGATGAGTAATTAAGCAGGCGTAATTGTTTAGATGAGTGCTCCTGCATGAACATTTGCAATGCATATAAAGTTGCTGCCATTGGCTCAAGAGGGCTTAGAGCCCTGGTGAGAAAGTGGTTAGAATGCAATACATGCAGACTAACTTCTCACAGTTTGGAGTTCAATCCTGACGGGGCTCAAAGTTGACTCAGCCTTCCGTCCTTCTGAAGTCAGTAAAATGAGGACCCAGATTGTTGTGGGCAATAGGCTGACATTGTAAACTGCTCAGAGAGGGCTGTAATGCACTTTGGAGCAATATATAAGCCTAAGTGCTATTGCTATTGGCTCAGCCAAGCAAATTTGGCAAAGGACAGTTGAACACATCTTATTCTACCCTGTTTCTCTAAGTCGCCTCTTTATCCAATGCTAGACCAGAAGTGTGGGGGCTATCATTCCATCAGACACAGGAACAAATAGTATTTCTGCAAAACACTGTTTTGATGAAGTCTTCCTGCTCTTGATCCCACTCACGAATGTCCTCCCTATCTATTATTTTTTAATTAAAAGTTGGCCAACCTCTTAAGTTTAAGTAGAAATTGTAATAACTCCATTGGGAACAAATAGTTGTTTTTTAATAGTAAATTTTCTTCTGGCATTTTGGTGGGTTTGGATTTGTTTGTTTTTTGTTTGTTTGTTTTCATTATGTTGCATTATTGTTTTTACTGGATGCCACCCAGTATCATTGTAGAGTTTAGAGTTCGCTATTATAAGTGACTAGAATAAAATAAATACACAAGAGGCTGTATGTTAGTATCTGTTTTGCTACGTTTTTAGTGATAAAAAATTTCTTCAACCCTCCTAACAATACACTGAACTGTAAACTTTGGAGGGCTTGATACAACACAGAACCCTACAAACGATCATAGTAAATTAATAGTTTTTGGATATATTTTTTGGGGGGGTGGGGGTAGGAGAAACAAAATCTTCTTGTGATACTTTCATTCTGCTCAAAAACATGCACCTCTTTTTCATCTCTTCACCTGCTCTACTTCAGAATGATCTAATTCCAGAATGAGTATACTGTCATAATGTTTGGTCAATATGATGGATGTTTCTATGTAGAAAATCAAGAGTCTGATGATAGTCTTTCATTGTGCCAGTTCAGAGGTCATACTCAGCAGCTCTTTGGTGTCAATGATAAAGAGAAACGGATGCTTTCAGGGTCATTGCCCAAGGGGCTTTGAGTGTTTCTGTAACTCTGCAAGTCTACGGTTTTGGCATACAATATGATGACTGATCAGGGAAGGGTTTATCTTTTTATATTACCCCTTTGCTGAATCTATGCGTTTACCAGCATAAAGCCAGATCAGGTGCTAAAACCGTGTGAAACATCTTTAGGTCTTCCTGGGTGGCCTTTGTGGGAGTTGCTGTAGAGCTGCAGGGGACTTCAGGCGAAATCAGCAGTTCTCAAAGGAACCATACTGCTTAAAGAGGAATTGAGACAGCTATGCCAAGGACCAGCCTCCAAGAGGGTATTTCCCAACAGCTCCATTGCTTTACTATGTCTGTCTGTCTTCCATTAAAGCTATCCTCTTGGTGGACTAAAGTGTCAATATGAAATGCAACAAATCTTTTAGAAAGTGAAAGGACTGGGCACAGTGGGAAAGCATGCAATGTGCATTCATTAGTTCCATTTTCAGAACCTGGTCTTTTCTGTTAAATGATGTTGGGGCTGAAAGGTGACTACTATTGAAAATTAAAGTAACCACTTTTGGGGTAGATGAGTTAGATAGTCAGCTTTATTATTATTTTGATTTTTTTGAGAGTCTGACCATTTTTTCTATCTCCCCCACCACCACCATTTTGTTTTAAAAACTGAATTGCTCTGAGGAACTAGTCTGCAAATGGGGACATTTTGTAGGGTTCTTCTCTAATATTCTATGCTCTGGTTTTGTTCAGAGCATAAAATACCCTCTTTCTGCAATTTGTTTAGAAATCTTTTTGCCTTCTTTTTTGTTCTTTGATTTTTATGAAACTGTATTCGGCTTAAAAACATTTCAGAAAAACAATCTTTTCCACATAGTTTTTAAGAACCATTTTAGGCAGTGTTGGCTCTAGCTGAGCTGCCAATAATTGGGCCCCGTTGGTGAACCATGTAATCAAATTCCACTCTCCTCAAATTGGTTTTATTGGATTTTTTCCACTCAAAATTTGGTACCCTACATGTGCCCTACATCATGACTTCATTTCCTGCATAAGGAAAACAAATCACATCTGAAAACCTGGGCCATTTAAAAACCTGATTTTATTGGCAAAATTCTTGGTGCATTGAATAGCTTCATTGAAAATGGATGTTTCTTTGAAGAGATTATGTGACATCAAGCAGGTTTTTCAGGGATTATTAATTGATTATAGAAATGACATTTAAGGATGTGAATGTTAGGAATTTGCCTCAGTCTTTTCCCATTTTTTCCTCCCTTTGATAATTTGAATGGCTTCTTATAGTCATCACTGTCTTTTTTCTGTCATTTAATCTTGCAATCCTTTCCATTTATACAAAACTTCTATCTAGTCACTACAATGAAATGCAAAAAAGACACAATTATTATTTTTTAAATAGGAAAGAATGAATCAGCTATTTTCATCTTGGCTAGATTATTTTAATCATAACTACTTAAATTACTGCAAATAAGTCACTTGATGAGTCTATCATGTAAAAATAACATCCACCTCATGTTTTGCTTTCAATTACCGGTAATTATAAATAGTGGTTCCAGAATTTTGCTTTAACATCTATTTCCTAGGATCTAATTACTTTCCAAGATAAACCTAAGAGCTTCAATATTCCAGTAAAATGTTGAATTATCCCAGCCTTTCAACTGTAAGACACCATTCTGAATCACATTTTTTCTTCATTTCATCATTATTTTGCCATAAGACAAGATGAAAGGGGCTAAACTTTGAGAGACAGAAGCCCATAAAAAATTATTGTTTTTTGAATTCTGAAACGTCTTCAATAGATTAAGGGGAAGGGGGAATCAAAACTTAGAATGAACATTTCCCAGATATATGCCTGCTATATTGATAGCAAGAGACAACCCAAAAGCCTCATTATTCTTCATTGATGTGGAAGATATTGAAATCACCCATACATCAAAAATGTGAATTGAAGTATATTCAGTGAATGGCAAGCTGCAAATTGTGAAAGCGCTGCCAATATTTTAGGAGTGCCAACCACTAGACATAATCCTCAAATATGCTGAAAAGTCCTGTAGCCTTGATATGGGATTGCAAAGGAACAAGGGAATGTCTACCACTAGGACATTGTGCCAGAGGAGTATTTTAAATTAGGATGCCATGTTTGTCCAGCTGTTTTCTCTTTGAATCATTTATAGATTTATAGTCTTTACCCCACTCTAAACTCTCTGATATAGGATAGATCCGGCAAAGTTTAGAAAATCAATTCAGACATTTTTCTTCTAAAATACAACTTCATAGCATAAATAAATCTGTTGAAGATCAAAATATTTTGCAGTTTTTTACAAGACTCTGAAATACTAAGATATTTGTGCTTGTAATCCTGGCAGTTAAAATTATTAATTAATTAATTAAATCATTTAATTATATTGATTGATTTGATTGATTGATATGATGATAATCTTATTCTGCAAAACAACTCTGGATGGCTTGCAATAAAAGTCATAAATACTGAATATTATTTCTTACTAAATTGTATTATTAATTAATTAATTATAATTATATTAAATTTAATAGTGAATATTAAAATATTAGCAAGACAGATTAAAAACCCAAGGCAAGGACAGTATGGTGCTGACATAGCCTGCAAAAATCTATTTTATGGTGCTCTTTTTTATCACATGGATTAAAACTGAAAGGACATCCTGATAATATTAACTATCCTAGGCCTTAAGATGCATGTATGTAAGACTTGTATTTAAAATAAGACATGCAGACACAAGCAAAACCTGGATTAATGATTTAAAATTTGAAACCAAGTTTGATATTCTTCACAACTGTTCTGTGGAATGTTTCTCTTTGGAAAAAATTGTTTATAGAATTTTTTCCCCCCCCCTTACTTCTTTCTTTTCCGTCCTTGGAAGCATTCTGCCACAATTTGGTCTTTCAAATGCAGTGCAGTGTATAATTTATCAAGGGCAAAGGCAAGCAAGTGTTAGTGGAGACATAAAATAGTGCTGGAGAAAGACATTTCTTTTCTCACTGTATATACCACACAGCTATGGCTTTGCTTTTCATCTCTTAGTCTTGTTTTAGCTTTGGATGGCAAATGGACAGAGAAAAGACCATAGCAGTACTCACTGCGTACCTGCTAAAATGATTAACATTAATTTTAATTAACAACAGAATAGTTATCCTCAAAATATGTGATGAGAAAGCAAGGTTTTCAAAGAAAATGCTGAAGTTCACAAAGCAGTTTTAAAGGTCAGATTGCAGGGGGATGTGTTCTTGGCAAGGAATTATGTCTAAGAGTTATGATCAGAACTGAATATTCAGCCATAATTTGGAAGTCTCCCATAAGGAACTAGAGGGCTCCATGCAAGTCTTGCGATCCTGTATTGGTTGAGTTTATCTTTCTTAGGTAACAAGCATAATATAAAATGATTAAATAAATAAAATACGCATTTTTGGGAAGGGAAATTGGGGATTTTCCCTAACAAAGATCTAATTCTGACAGTGGAATTATTTTCCCTTCTTCCTAGAGATGGCTTGTGGGCAGGGGTGAAATCCAGCAGGTTCTGACAGCTTCTGGAGAACTGGTAGCGGAAATTTTGAGTAGTTCAGAGAACCTGTAGCAGAAATTTTCAGTAGTTCAGAGAACCAGTAGAGGAAATTTTGAGTAGTTCAGAGAATCGGCAAATATCACCTCTGGCTGGCCCCAGAGTGGGGTGGAAATGGAGATTTTGCAATATCCTTCTCCCAGGAGTGGGAAGGGAATGGAAATTTTGCAGTATCCTTCCCCTGCCACGTCCACCAAGCCACGCTCACAGAACTGGTAGTAAAAAAAAAAATTGGATTTCACCACTGCTTGTGGGGGCAGCAACAATAGCAATCTGTTAGGATGAGAAAAAAAGCAATCTACTTTGATCTTGGAGAGAGTGCTTCCTAAGAGGTTCTTTACTGCTAAACAATGGAGGGACACTTAAAACACTGCAAATAAGTCATCAGATGACATTAATTCCACATTCAATGCAGCAGACTGACTTTTTAAAAAAATTAAAATGTAAATCGTAATTGTAGCCAATAACCAATTCATTCAAACCTTGTGGACATGGAGCCACAGTGTTGTGGGGTTGAAAGGGCCATTTAAGTCATCAATCAAATCTATCTTCTTGCTCACTGCAGGCATCCAAATTAAACCATCTCCAAAAAAAGCTCTAGATAGCCTCTGCTTGATGGCACCTGGTGATAGGAGCTCATTACCTCCCTCGGTGGTCATTCCCATGACCAAACTTCGCTTGTCGCTTTGAGGGTTTTTTTCAACTGGCAAATTCAACTGGAATTTGCCCACTTGTAAGTTAAGACAAATATTCCATGACTTTGGGGGATCATAGAGATTAGATAATGACTCTCTTCCCTGTGACACTTCTTCAGCAACTTCTTAAATCAGGGATCTCCAACCTTGGCAACTTTAAGACTTGTGGACTTCAACTCCCAGAATTCCTCAGTCAGCTTTGCTGACAAGTCTTAAAGTCCACAAGTCTTAAAGTTGCCAAGGTTGGAGACCCCTGTCTTAAAGAGTGCTATCACATCCCTCCTGGTTCAGGTCTTCTCAAAACTAAATATGCCTTGTTTGTTCAGATGTTCAGCCCATGGAACATCCACATTCGCTTCTTCCAGTTCGTCTGAATCCTTCTTACATTGTCATGGTTGTAACTGGGACGTTTGGATGCCACCTCTATTAATACAGCCTAAAACTGCACTGGGATTTTGTGTTTTCAGCCACATCACGCTGACGGCTTATATTCATCTTGCGAATTGGTATGTGAGTGCATGCTAAGGCACCCACTGGATTATTCTTCAGAAATTTCTTCTCCTTGCTTCTCCAGGAATGGGTCGAAATCTCTCAGTTCAATAGAGATTTAACGATTAAATGATCAAGTCATTAAATTAAGGAAGTATTTCAGATTTTGTGAATACATCATATGTGTTTTACATTTACCCGCAAGAACCACTTTTCAACATCTTACAGCATGACTGTCCTTTCTAATTAAAGAGAGAGATTGAAAGAGAAAGATACAAGCCTAAGTTAAACTGAGAGACCAGATCAGTTAATGGCTTCTGTTATATTCTCCAACATGCTTCGATCTGGAGCACAACTGAGGAACAAAAAGGGTTTCATTTCATTCCTAACTCTGGGACCATCAAGGTAGGAAGGGTCAGGTTTATTTCCCTCTTTTGATATTCCTGCACTGTATTAGAAAACAAGTATTATTTTTCTCTTTGGATAAGAAATAGGAGAATACATATCAGACCTTCAAGGTAGATCAGACTATGAAACCAATGCCATGCAGGCAGTGGTGGGATTCAAGTAATTTAGCAACCAGTTCTCTGCCCTAATGATTTTTTCCAACAACCAGTTTCCCAAACTGCTCAGAAAGTTAACAACTGGTTCTCCCCAAGTGGTGCGAACCGGCTGAATCCCACCACTGCATCTAGGTCAAAATGACTTCTATTGTAACAATAGAATCTTGCAAGTCTCGGGGTTTTTCCCTCTTCCTCCCTCTTCATATGAATTATGGAGGATCCTCCCTGCAACATTTTTTCAAGTTATTTTCTTGGCTTGGGCTCAGGCCCCTCTTATCTGACTACTGCTTTAGTAGTGACTCTACCTCCTGTTCTTAACAGTCATTCTGTCATCTGTCTGCTACATAATATTGTATACATCCCTCTTCTTTCTAATACTGGACAACTATACATTTTTAGTTGTGTAGATTTTAATAATGATTTTAATATGTATTTATGGGTTTTATATTTTAATTAAGTGCTAAGTGCTGCCCAAAGTCACTCTCTTGGAAGACAGGTAGCCATACAAATCATGGATGGATGGATGAATGGATGGATAGATATATAGATGATGGATGGATAGATAGATAGATAGATAGATAGATAGATAGATAGATAAGTGGATGGATGGATAGACAGACTAAACTAAGAAGCATAAAAAAGTTCTTCTCATTGATTTCCTTGCTCCTATGCTTATGATGACTCCCCTGGACATTTCCCCAGTAACCTCTCCAAATGTCAGTTCAGGAGAGGATGAACCGATGCCAGGCATATCTGAAGGGGAATTGGTCAATAGCTCTAAGCAGCTGTCCGAGACGGATTTGGCTGAACACAGCTGCAGCAGGACAACCCTGAGGTTTCAGGTGGACCAGCTATAGCTGGTCAGTGATGAGGAAGAGCAACTGCCTTCTGGACAGAGAAAAGGCAGGAGCAGAGAAAGTCAGTCAGATTACTGACAGAAGAATGCCTCACCCTCTTTGATGGGCTGCACCGGAAGCTGGCTATTTAGCACAGCAGACAGATGGAGACAAT